GAGGCTGAGGCAGGAGGATCGTTGCAAGTTTGAGACCAGCTTGGGCTACAAACTGACCTCAAGGTGAACTGCATAGCAAGACCTTGTCTCAAAATACAAAACAACAACAACAAAAACCAAAAATAAAAGTAGAAAACTTTCCAAGTATAGAAAAAAAATTTAACATAATTAAGTAAGGCATATAGAAACCTACATATCCACAATCAGAAAAGAATTTCATGACGTATTATAAAAGCTGTCCACAGGTCTAAGAGAACAAATGTTGTACACTAGGCAAAGTGAGCAGCAAAGAAGAGAAAACAAGGGATCAGCAACAGAGAGACCGTGCAGTGGCAGGTGTGAGTCAGCGCCTCTCAGTAAGCACTCTCAGTGTGAACGGTCTCAACTCACCAAGCAAAGACACAGATTAACAGAAAGGGTCAAGAAACACATTCAACCCAAAAAGAAATTTATAAATTAAAAATCAAAGGATAGAAAACAATATTCCATGCAATGGGAACCCAAAAACAAGCAGGAGTAACTATCACATTTTCCAGCAAAGTGGACTTCAAGCCAAAACCAATCAGAAGAGGCAAAGAAAAATCACTACATATTGATTAAGGGAATAGTTCATTACATATTAGTTAAAGAAACAGTTCAACATGATAATGATTATAAGCATATACGCATCAAACATTGGCACACCCCTTCATAAAACGAACTACTGGACAGAAAAAAATCAAATAAACATCAACACAATTATAGTGGGGGAATACGCCACTGTCACAAATAGATCATCTAGACAAAAAAATCACAAAGAATATCAGAGCTGAACCAAAACCCCAGAACACATGGACTTAACAGACACCTCGGGTGCTCCATCTAACCACAGAACACAGCACATGGAACTCTCTCCAAAGCAGACCACGCAGCGACCCATAGAGCATGCTGAAGGAAACACAAGAGAACTGAATTATCCCAGGTATGCTATCAGATGGTAGCACAATGACACTACAAATCAATGACAAAAACCCACACAAATTATGCAAATGCATGGAAATTAATCAATATAAATGAAGCCATGTATGGTGGCACACACCTGTAATCCCAGCACTCGGGAAGCTGAGGCAGGAGCTTCACTGCAAGTCTGAGGCCAGCCTGGGCTACATAGTGAGTTCAAAGCCAGTCTGAACTGCATAGTGAGACCCTGTCATATATATGAGAAATATGAAAAAAATATGAATGGATCACAGAAAAAAGCCAGGAAGAAATTAGACAGCTCCTAGAATCAAATGATAATGCCAGTGTAACATACCAGAATTTATGGGACACAATAAAAGCAGTCCTAAGAGGAAAGGTTATAGCTGTGAATGCCCACATCAGAAAAATAGAGTGAGCCCAAACATATAATTTAATATTGTACTTGAAGGTTCTAGAAGAACAAAACCCAAAGAATAGTGACAATGATATCTACTATAATATCTATGGTACAAATTGTTATGAAGATTCAATAAAAATGTGTATTAAAATGGCTGGCCCCTAGTGTCTAGCACAGTGTCTGACACTGTGCGTTCCTGAGTGCTTATGCAGGTTTTTGCTTTTTCAATTGACAGGGTCTATGTAGTCCAGACTGGAACAGAACTGACTATGTAGCCCAGGCTGGCCTGGAACATGCAGTGATCCTCCTGCCTCAGCCTCCCAAGTGCTGGGATTACAAGCACAGACTACCACACCAGGCTCACTCACAATTTCTAACCCACAGAATTTCTATTATAGGCACTCCATAATAGCTCACAGGAGAATAACGTTATAAACGAAACATTAATGTAGCCTTACCTTGAAAAGTATGCCTACTGGTGCGATCTTACATACACCCATCCATACAGAACTTAAAAACAAAGCAGGAATCCAACAGAAATGCACTCATGTGTTCCTGTATGAGAAATGTACAAGAATGTCTGTGTACTAGCCCCACACTGGAAACAACTGACATGTCCATTTAAAGTAGAACTGTGGCATATTTATATAATAACATACAGCAATGAGAATTTACAATATGAAAAGATCTCACTAAAAGGAGCAAAGGAGGCTACACACAAAAGAATAAATGCATTATGATTTCATTTATGTAAAATTCAAAATCAGAAAAAACTCATCTGTAGTGTGTATATGCATGTTTATATATATCAATTACCTACTTCTTGGAGGAGGACAGTAGTGCCTGGAACATTTCAAGGGTGTTCTACCTCTTTTTTATTTTGCTTTTTGCAGTACTAGGGATTGAATTCAGGGAGCCCTAAGCTACATTCCTATCCTTGTTTTTGGAGACTGCACTTGCCAAGTTGCTCAGGATGGCCTTGAACTTGTGATCCTTTTGCCTCAGTCTCCCAAGTAGCTGGAATTATAGATATGTGCCATTATGCCTGGCTTGGGTTTGTTCTATTTCCTTATCTTAGACTCGATTACAGATATGTTCACTTTATGAAAATCATTGAGCTCCACATTCGTAATTTGTACATTTTTCAGAAGATATAGTATAACTGTGTACGTATGTTTACTTACCAATAAAATTTACTCAAAAAAGCGAGTAAAATTAATTCATAAAACTGGCATTAAATATGAAACATACTAGATTCAGTCTAGTATTTATTAATTTAGGAACTATTTACTGAACATTTATTTTGTGCCCAGTACTATGTTTTATTTTGGTGATATAATGGTAATTGTTATGGGCTGATGTTTGTCCTCCTGAAATTTATACACTGAAGTCTTATTCCACAGTACTTTAGAATGTGACCTTCTCTGAAGATGGGGTCAAGTTAAATGAGCTCATTAGGATGAACTCTCATCCAATATAACTGATGTACCTACATGAAGAGGAACTGTAGATGCAGAGACACACAAAGGAAGGATGATATATAAAGAGACACTAAAGTGTCCATCAATAAGTCAAGGAGAGAGGACTGGAACAGATTCTTTCCTCAGAGTACTCATAAGGAACCAGTTCTACCAACACCTTGATTTAAGACTTTTACCTCCAGAAGTGAAAAACAATAAATTTCTGCTGGAGAAGCCACTCAGTGTGTAATACTTTGTTACACTTGTTATAGCAAACTAACGTGATAACTCTCTCTCATTCCTCACCCCCTCAAAAGGTATTATCTTTTACCTAAATAAAAAATATTTTCCCTGACTACAATGATGCAAGAAAGGACAGCCTGCAAAAGGGAAAATCAGGATAATTAAGGAAACCATAAAAGGCGTCTCTGAGGAAGTTTCAACTAACTGAGATCTAAAGGAAGAAGGAAGAAGATCCCTAAGTAGAAGGAAAAGCATATTTTAAATTCCCTTATAAGATAAACAAAAAGGAAGTGAGTGTCCAGTTCAAAGAGAGTAAGGAGCACAGTAGGAGGTGAGTATGAGCAGGCAGGTGGAATCCTGATTACATAGGGGTTTGGGAACATGTCGAGGATTTTGGACTTTTTTTTTGTCTTTCTTTTTTTTTTTTTTTTTTAATTTTTTGAGACAGGGTCTTGCTATATAATCCAGGCTGGCTGTGAATTCACTATGTAGCCCAGGTTAGCTTCTAACCCACAACAATCCTCTTGTCTCAGCTTCCCAAGACCTGGGATTATAGGTATGTGTCATCATGCTCAACTAAGGATTTTGGACTTCATCTCAAAAACCACTACCATGAAATAGCCAAATATTTGGTGCCTCATAACAAGAAATGCAAAATTCCCAGCATGACTATGAGAACTCTTGCTAAAATAGTTGAACTTAAATCTAGTGATGCCTTTGGAACTATCTTCCATTCGTAGGAAACACAGAAAGTAGAAGAACAAGTTAAATAATACCCTAAGGAAGTAATCAGACAAATCCAGAACATGGAACATTCCCAATAACAACCAAGCCAGTTCACAGAGTCAATGGCAATAGGAAAAAATAGACAGGAGGGGAGACACACACTCTAGATGATTAGTCCAAATAGGACTCAAGAACATTGCTTAGCTCCTACTACAAAAAGGCATTTTTCAGCAACCGGTGAAACTTGAATGTACTCCAAATGATACTAAAAAATTATTATTAGAAATTTTAAAAGATATTCTGTCTTCCCACTGAAGTTGTAAAAACTGTACACAAAATAGGTATTTAGGATATGTTACTGATGCTGATGTTGAAACTTAGTATTTCAAATTTAGGCAGATGGCCAAAAAACACTGTGAAATAATTTGTACCTCTTCAAGAGTTACTGAATTTTAGAATTAGAAATGAAAAGAGAGATTATCTAGTCAAAATAAGTTTATCTGAGCTTGAGGAAAAGGGCACAAAACTCAATAGTGGAAGGCCTGGTCTGTACTGCAGGTATCTATGTTAGGACCCTTGTTCTATTTCTTTCACTGTAGATTACAGGAAGGTTGTTACATCTTCCAGGCCCTGTAGAGCTCATAACCCAATTCCTTCTCCTTCCTCACTTGCCTTTATATTCTTGTTCTTCCTCCCCACTCAAGGCATTTTAGTTCATGTTCACTTGACAACTTTCACTCTCCTCGAGAAAGCTGCCTTAGGTAATGATCTGAGGAGTAATAATGAGCCAAGGATAAACAATTTTAAACCATGGCAAAATAACAGAACCACAGCTGCTGTTTCAAGCTTTTGCCAGATTATTTATGTAAGTCATTCCACTGGCTTTCAATGACCGCATTTCCCCTAAGTTCTGTTAATGAACCCATAGAAGCATTCGATCACTCATTCAGGTCTCAGAGTAAAAAAGGTTTTAAGCCATTGGTATATAAAGAACCAACGCTGCTGAAATACTCTCAATGCTTCACCTGTTCTTTTTCTAAAAAAATCACAGCTAACTAAAAGGTTAGAAATAAAAATGTTATTAGCATCTTAGTAATATACTGATTTTTAAACTATGCATGTGTATTACTTTAGTAAAAATATTAAGTTTTAGAAAACTGAATTATAATTATCTTGCACTATGTTTAGCACTATATGGAAAAATTAATCTCAGCCAGGATACTTGTAGATTTATAATATATGCCATGCAACCACAATATGAGCTCAGACAGATACCTTAATATACGCAATAAGTTATACCAATATATCAAATACTCCAGATAAGTAAAATTACATCATACAAATGGGTAAAAATGTGGGATTTTGTAAGTATAAAGTAAGCAGAGGAATATTTTATTTCTGTAACCTCCCACAAATAACAGTCATCTTCACTAAATTCCTCCACTATGTGATACACCTGCACTTCACATACAAATTAGCAGTAATCTTACTATCTATATTTCACAAGTAAGAGATTGTATCAGAATTTTTATATAAGGCTGACTCCAAATTCATATTCTTTCCACTACAAAAAATTCACATTCAATTTACATTTAAGAAGGAAAATGTGTGTTTTTTGCTCTTATTCTAACAGCAGCTCAGTTTTACCCTTCATGGCAGACATTCAACTCATATATCCTGATGTGGCATAAGGACTGAAAGCTGTTCGATTAGTTGGATACCTGTTCTGTGAGATCAGTGCCCATGCCAAACCTATTAAATATTTGGGATATCACACCTGTCAGTGGCACAGAACTCTAGGTGTTCGATCAAATACTTATTCAGGCACTTGACATAATGAAAATCCACGTCTACGACATATTTGCTTGCCTACAGGTATTCCATGCCAACTTCTGTGCAAAACTTAACTGGCTCCTCCTTCTAAAGAAGAATAAGCCAAGACTTCTATTTCAGTGGAAGCCTAACCTTTACCATATTTATAAATACCAAAGCATGGGACATACCTCTAAATCAATGGCAAAAAATTACTACACTCTAAGTTTTGTCAGCAAGTTGACCTTGAAATAACATCTGCTTTTCTTTTCAAGGGAGGCTTATAGAATTTGATATTTGGGCAATCAGCCTACAGGCAAAAAAACTACATTCACCTTCTTCAGTCCTGGCTATCAAACTAAATTAGTAGAAAATAATGTATCTAGACATTAGCTTATAGCCTTAAAATCAGTATACAACTTTATACTAAGTTGTAATCTTGGATTTTATCAAAATTCAATATAAGAAATGACCATATGGGAAAAAGAAATCAATAATATAAATGTTTCAAGGAAAACCTAAATATCATCATAACAAAATTAGTGTGGTTTAGTTCTGAGAGCTTTACATGCTCGATTTATTTATAATTATGCCAAAACCAGTTTGCTCAACCAACATACACACAATGTTGTACACGCTCCCTCAACTGGTTAAAATATAGAACTACCAAAAAACATGTTCCATTGGGTTAACTTTTTCATCTTCTTCAGAAATTTCTGTAACTCCAGCCTGAGATCGAAGAAAGGACATGATGTCATTAGATAACTTGTTAAAGCCGTTTTGTGAACATATATTTGCCACGTCTTGCCATGTTTCTAGTGAGCAAAATGAATCATTCATCATGACATGTTCTACTGCATCTGGGGAAAAAAAACAAAAAGATTATAGTATACCACCTGCTGTTTGATAATCCATATTTAGCAATTCTTCAAAAATATGAAAGGATATATAATTTCTTTTTTTTTTTTTTTTT